GGAAAACTACAATCATGAATCCCTTCTCCAGTGAAGTTTCTGACCTGAGGCATATGCGTGGCCTGGGGAGGGTGGAAAGGGAAGCTTTTCCAACATGAAAGTGAGACTATACAAATACTCAAAGGTGACCCAAGAAGCTGGGTATTCTGCATAAAATGTTGTCCAGAAATGAGAAAGGAAAATTGGTCAGAGCATGTATTAGTGTAATGTTAGAAGAATAAAGTTATTTATTGATTGTTCCCTGCTGATTTCTGCCTTTTAAATAAAACACTTATATGTTTTAAAGAGAGATAAATGAGGGACTTTCTATTTTTAATAAATTTATTTTTGATAATTTTTATTTTCACTTAGTAAATATTTACTGAGCACATAATATATTCCAGGTACTCTTCTAGGCACTCCAGGATATGTCAATGAAAAAAACAAACAAAAATTCCTGTCTTTTAGAGCCTACTTGGCGAAGAGAGGAGATAATGATATTATGCAGTATACTGGAGGCATAAGTTCATGAAAAAAAAATAAAACAGAGTGGAGAATACAGTGGGAGCAGTAATACAAAGTCTCCCCTTATCATTCTAAGACCACCAGTGGATGCCTGAACCTATAGATAGTATGAACCCCATATAGATACACTGTGTTTTTTTCTGTACACATATACATGTGATAAGGTCTAATTTTATAAATCTCTTACCATGAAATTTATAATCTTATAGTAAGAGATTAATGACAATAAGTAATAATAAAATAGAACAATTATAACAGAATACGATAATAAAAGTAATGAGAATGTGGTACCCCTCCCCTCTTAAAATATCTTAATAGTTTTGGACTGTGGTAACTGAAACTGTAGAAAACAAAACCACAGGTAAAGCGGGAGCACTATGTCTGATCAAGGACCTGAAGTATGAAGAAATGAGCCACCCAGCTGTCAGAGGGAAGAGCGCATCAAGCAGAGAAGAGCAAAGCGCAGGAGTGTGTATGGAGTGTTAAGTAAGAGACAGCTCAGAACAATCAGAATTAAGAAACATGGCTAAGGTGTGGGGTAGAATGCATTTCATGCAGTGAAGCTTTGTAAATATTAGCTGAACAGGTGAATACAGGCAAACAGCAGTTATTTGTTGGAAAACACCCTGCGGTTCATCTTTGCTGTGCCTCTTCTACGTCTTTGGTACCAAGGTGCTAGCCCAGTGGCTTCAAGCCGTGGGAGGGTATGGAGTAGTAGGGCTGCCTTTGCGTTGAACCTGGGTCCCCTGTTCTTTATAAACCCTTGGCAAACATTTTGGGGAAGTTCTTTGACATCTCTGTAAACGTTTTACTCCTTTTTTTCCAGCCACATTGTTTTTTTTTTTAATATTCCTGTAACCACCAAAGGTCCTTCAGGTAGGAATCTTGTTACTGCTGCTTTCACTTACTAGGACCTGACAATTTCCACAAGACTGGTTTCTTCTTTTCATTTAGATCTCATCATCTTTGTCACCTTCAGAGAGAAACCTTTTCTGACGTCCCACTCTGTGTTGGTCCCTCCTGCCCCGGTTACTCTACCTCATCTTCCTGGCATAATTTTCTTAGCACTTGTATGTGTGTGAAACTGTTATGTTTATTTTACGTATTTCCTTGTTAGTCCTTCACGAAAATATAAAATAATTAAACTTTTCATCATGTTCACTGCTGTAAATCAGCAGTGCTTGGACTGTAGTGTAACTGAGTAAGTTCTTAAAAATGCATTTGTTGTAGAATGTGTAAATTACATAAATATAGAAAGTGACATTTATTGAATATTTACTATGTGCTGTAAACTGCGATAAATATCATTCTGCAGATTTTCTATTTAAAGCGTCTTGCCGGCGTTATTTTCTCTGTCGTACAGGAACGTTTGCTGTTTTTCTTTGAGTCTACGACCCCTTAACCATTGTGCCTTGCTGCCGTTGAGACAGCTCTGCGGCAGCCCCAAATCCTCTGCAGCTTAGCACACCGGAAGAGAGAGATTTAATACCCATATTGGGCAATGGTCAGACTGACTTATTTGGCTGGTGGCAGGAGAGGCTTGGTGTTTAGCAGATCTCAAAGATGGGTGCCCTCATGCTGAGTTTGTCCCACAGTCATCTTTCCTTTGTCTGGCACATTGTTTAAAAGCAGAAAGACTCCCCTAAGAATCTAGATTTGATACTTGAGTAGCAGTTGCCCCCTCCGATGGCGTATGTGTGTTCCCGCACCGTGCAGTCTCCCATGTTTATGTTTTACCTCCAGCCAACCTGGAGAATTAGAGTTACATACCCCCTCCCCTCAGAACTGGAGAGCTAGCCCCCTCTGTACTTGTGGCATGCGTGCGCTACCGCACGAGACCAGGAGTCACCATACAGCCTGCCGCATGGACAGAAGGCCAGTTTCTTTTCTTTATAGTCAACCCAACCATCCCAAGCATCTCAATTGAGTCAACATTGTTTTTTCTCCCTCCATCAACATTCTGATTTGCTTGGAGGGCGTCCCCAGTGTCCAGAGTCAAATAAATCCTCCTTTCTGGAAAATGAATTGGAATTTTCAAGGCAGCCACAGACACAGTTTAAAGTGCCTGTGAATCGAGGGGGTGAAATCAAGATGCCTGTTTTACCATTCTGATGACTGAACTCTGATATGCCTGAGTGTGTCCAGCAGCCTGTTGCTTTGACTGTTTACCACGTCATGGGAAACAAAGACTTTCCAATCTATGCATATTTGCCCCTGGAAGTGTTATTTGGGAACAAATCTAATGCTTATTTTTCAGCAGTAAAACAAAAAAAATACATTTTTAATACACTTAAAACATTTTTTTTAATATAGTGCACATTTAGTTTTGGTTATCTAAAGGCACATAGTGTTGTGTGAGTCAGTACTTTTAGAACTATTGTATTGAGACATATTCAAATTTTTCTGAGTAGTAAATACATAATCAGAAAAAAATCATTCAAACTCTATATTGGTTAGCTTTCTTTATCCTTGCCTTGATGCCATCTTGGTTCTTTAAAATTAAAAACCACTGTGGATTATTATTCTTACATTATTTTGTTATAGTTTCTTTCTGTCCAATTACTAATTTTTCTGTAGGAGCGTCTTCTTAGCTCTAGAAGTGTAGGTGAACATGTTTGTTACTTTATTATTTACCACAAATGCTCTAAAAAGGCATGCCAGTTTTAACTTTATGATTCCAGCTTCTAGGACTCTAGTTAATCTTTTTTTTTCCTAACCAGTGTTTTTTTTCTAAAAAAACTTGCTAGTCACATGCACACGCGCGCACACACGCACACGACTATTTTTAAAATGCCTAATATTTTTCCAAGGGATGTAGTTGAAATCTATGCTGTAAAGGCTCCTAAAAATGAATTGCTCTTTGTGCAGGCTTTATTGTTTTATGAAGTCTTAACTAGTGGGCAGAGATAGACTTAATTGTAATTTAGAGCACTGTGTTGCCTTGTTCTGTTTTATTATTGGATTGATAGGTTAATATCTGTAAAGTGATTCGAGTTCTTATACAAGGCTAGAGAGATTATGCATTTCTTTGCAAAATTTATGTGCAATTATGTATATACCTTGAAGAGTAAATGTCTTAAATATTTTATAGCATGTAAGCTCTCATTAAATATGTTATTGACAGTAGGCTAAAGGTGAGAAGGATGGCATCTTATTAATCTTTTTATCTCTTGCTCTTCCCCCTCCCATCCTGGTACTTTACAAAAGCTCAATAAATGGAAGAATCGAAGGGAAGATGTCTGGTGTTATCATTAGCAACCATATCATTTGTAATAGATTTCCCAAGGCTTTATGTTCTCATCTGGCTTTAAGTCTTATCTGAGTATTCCTTCTTTCAATGAAATGATATTTAATTTTTCACTTCTGTAATTATTTGATTGCTAAATCTTATGGTCAACAAGTTGGGAATTCAGTTAATACCCTTTGCAAATAATACGACGTCGTTTTTTGACAGCAAGGGGAAATACACTCAGTGCAGTATTTCAGGAGATCCTGACAACTCTTGGTTGAAGAACATTAATCAAGTAACTGGGATGTTGTAAAATTGGTAGAAATTACAGAGAAACCAGGAATAAAAAGGTTTGAGACTGTCTGAATCCAGCCTTTTAACCTTTTGAAGAGTTTTAGCATTCCTGCGACTGTGAATTTAATGGCTCTTCAGTTTCGTCTGCTTAAGACCTTTTTTTATTACAGGTAATTTTCTGCATAAAGCGATCAGCTAGATAAGCTGTATTTCAAAAATTTTAGAAGTCTTTTATTATATTATCATCACCGTGGTCGATTCATTTATGAAACACAAAGCACTCCCATTTGGAGAGATTTATTCTCATATCAATTTTTTCCTGGATTTGCTAGAACCCCATCATGTTCGTGTTCTGAAGGTTAATGCCCAAAGTCAAGCAGACAGAAGCCAAGTGCTGCAAGGTTTCCAAGATTAGGACTGATTCCCTTCACAGAAATAAATGATTCCTGCCATGTTCAGTGATTTTGTGCAGTGCTCCCCATGGCTGAGTGAGTGCATCAATACTGTAGTCCTTACATGCTATACATACTGATGACACTCAGTGTTAACTTGATTGACTGAGCAGTGCACTGGAGAGGACGCACCTGCGAGAGAAGTGCAGACACATATATTTTTATCCTGGTTTTGAAACATTTATTTTACATTGATTTTACTTGGGAGTCATAGTTTCCAATTCCATGGGCTCTCAAGCCACATTGCTAAGGTAGAACAAACCGTTAACTGCTTGCTTCGTTGTTAGAATTATACCGAAAATGGTTTTAGGTTTAAACCCTTTGCCAAAGCCTGATTTTATGCTTTTGAGGGAAAGTGACATGCAGGTAACTATTAAGAATCCTGAGAAATTAGGGATTCTGTAGAACTGAAATCTCTCTAGAGGTTCTGTCTAGTGATGGGCAAATGAATCATATAATTCAGTTAGGAGAAATCATTTTGGCTATATTTTTATGTTATATTTTATTATCATGTTTTGTAGGCTTTGAGGCAGCAGCAGAAAAGAAGAAATGGAGTCTCAATGATGGTAAACAAGACTGTTCCTCGTGTTGTTTTGACACCATTAAAGGTGTCTGATGAGCAGTCGGATTCGCCTTCAGGTAAAGAGCTGAAATATTGTATGCTTGGCCAATTTCTTCCCAGAGGAGACTTCCTCACTGAGAAAGATGTCATGATTTTTTTTTTTTCCTGAAACTGAATAATATTTCCACTTGAGGTTTGGTTTAATTTTTTTTTATACTTTGACTCTTTCAGTGATTCAAAAATATAGAATATTTCCCAGTTTAAAAAAAAAAGGCTGCAGCCTCGCTCATCATCATCAAATAACTTCATGAGCTAATGTCAATAGGTGTAAGAAAATGTATAGTGATATGAGGTGGATTTTGTTGTTGTTGCTTTGGCTTTTTTTAATGGTGGATCACATGCTGATGTATAATTCCATCAAGAGCAGCTCTTCCGTGAGTGTGAATTTGGTTTTCTGTTTTGTGCTGCAAAATCAGGAATCATTTATTAGTTTTTGTGTTCTGGCAACATTCTTCTCACCCCAGTGAAGCCCTGACCTTTTCTTCCAATTTACCTTCTGTCACTTTATCAGCTAGGTACCGTTCTATTTATTATAGATTAGTGTTTGCATTTTCTGTTCCTACTTCAACATAAAATTATTCACAAAGGTATGGTTTCCCCCTCTCTTCGAGATTCCCTTCTTCATCTTTCTGTCTCTGTCTTGTATTGTCTCGAAATGACTTTGTATTGTTCAGGCTTATTCGTGTAGTTTTACAAAAGATCTGACTCTGTTTCTTTTAAAAGCTATCCGATCAGTGAACATGTTTTTGACTTCACTATTAGGCCATCTGTTCTTGCTTTTTGTTCTGTTTGATTGATTTATTGGGCTTCTCTTTTTAGGGGAATCAGATTGTGGCCAAAGGTAGTATATTAACTCTTAGAAAAAGAGATTATATCTACAGTTCTTAAAACAATTTTAGATTTTTCTTTTCGAGGACAGCTAGAGGAAGATAATGACATAATAACTATTTCCTTTTTTAGGATCTGAATCTAAAAATGGTGAAGCAGACAGTTCAGATAAAGAAATGAAACATGGGCAAAAATCTCCCACTGGAAAACAAACAAGTCAGCACTTAAAACGATTGAAAAAGTCTGGTTTAGGTGAGTGTTTAATAGACTATGGCATTTCACATTTTAGAGATTTATGTCTTTTCAAATAAATTATGAAAAATTCTCAGAACTTTTATTTTTAGTGATTAAACAAGGAAATCAAATATCCTTCCATTTATCTAAACCAAAAAAAGGTGCTAAATAAGAAAACTTTACAGTTACATTGAATGGTCTTAAGCTCATTACTAAATTTATGAATGATATTATTGGATGAAGCAGAGGATAAAGATAAGAGAGTCAAAATGATATGTGTTCAAATAATGATCTGTCCAGTCATGGTTCTATCTAATGTGCAGTGTTTTATTTATGCAACCAAGTTTCACTTTATTGCGATATACTGTGTTGGGGGGAAAATGCAACATTTGTAAAGGGTTCATTGAATTGGATAGTACATTGTCATTGGGGTCTGCTGCAGTAAAACTCCTCTGCCTTGCTTTTTGCCTATGCTACTTGAAATATTTAGTAGTGCCTGTCTGAAAAATAGCGTCAAATCGCTGAGAAATGTGGGAGACACAGTCCATGGGTCTTGCAAGTCAGCACCAGGTTTTATTCTATATACTTCCTTCCTTATAACTTTTCCTCAGGAACCTAACAGCAGCATTCAGGGAAAAAGGAGGATGAGAATTAAAAAGGCAAAAATAAACATATCCTGAACTGAACATTATAATTCTCAACTATCCCTGCCTTGTTGACTGACCTGGACCTAATGGCTTCATTTTTCTCGCTTAGTTGTTTCACCTCTGAATAAGGGTGGTCTCATGATAATAATCTGAATCATTATAATATTTTGTAAAATGGTTGGTAGCAACTACAAAGTTCTGCCACTTTTTGGGAAGTTTAGGATAATTCTTATTTACAGAGTTTCTCTGTTTGTAAAATTCAAGCAAGATTTTAACTAATTCATTTATTTAGTTTTTAGTAAAGCTTTACTATTTGCCTACTGTATGCCAGGCATTTTGCTAAATCCTGGGAATGTCCTTGCAATGAAAAACCTTTAAATAGAATATATAATCCTCAGATAAGAGACCTCTAGTAAAATAGAATTTATTTTTGATTTGAATTCTTTAAATATAGCGTAGTTACCTATTTTATAATATATTACTTTCAAGGCTAAATTATTTTACAGTTAGTGTCTAGCCCAAAGTGTATCTGTGTGTGTTTGTGTATAACCACCCTTACATATACACTGAGGTGTTTTTTCCTAGTACTGTGTGTGTTGTAAAGTATTCTAAGATAAGTAGCTTCTGAAATAGAAAACTATAGTGGGAGAGTGATATGTGAAGAATATACTAAAAATATATGTATACAAAACAGTGCTGCATTACCATACATTATGTGATTTAAACATGTGACCTTTAGCTAACAACAGTCTGCTACCAACTTCAGTGAAGTTAATGCCATATAATGAGTGTAAGAACATTTAAGGCACAGGGCTCGCCCACTTGTTTGCTTAGCTAACTTTAGGGCTAAAAGTCAACAAGCCCTTGTACCATGTTATCAGGATCCCCTCAGGGGCTCTGAGTCTTTAGTCAGGATATCTAGTATTTTGATTGTTGTTACCTTTAAGTCCATACTCAAGAAGATAGAGAATCAGA